CTTTCGCCCCCCCCCCCCCCCCACACACAAAACTCACGCCTTCGTCGATGGCATTCCTGTCTGTCTGTCTCTGGTGGGTGAGTGCAGAAGAAGATGGAGCTGGAAGTCGAGAAGGTCAGCCATCCACCCACCCGAGCAATCAACCAATCGATAACATCTGCATGGGCCGATCATGGTGCAGGACCGTCTGGACAAGCACATCGAACACCTGGACGCGTCGGTCAACCAAATCGGACCCACCGTCCTCAAAGCTCTTGAAGAGTTTGAGGACGTGGCCAAGGACAATGACAAGCTCATGAAGGTTGCAAGAATGCGACCGAGTGGTCCATCAGTGGATTCCTGAGCACGTGTCTTTTCGTCTGAGGCACCTGCCTGCAGGTCTACCGGAAGTCGCTCGAAGATGTGCGCAAGCTCATCGCGAAGCTCCTGAGGGAGAAGAAGTCGATAGTGGCCAAAAGGGAGAAGCTGGACAACAAGCTCAGCAAGGAACAGACCGCGTTTCAGAAGAAAAAGGATGCGCTCGACAAAGCCATCTCCGACGAGAACACAAAGGTCAGCGCCCGATCTCTCTCCGCTCTGTGCATGTCTCTCTCTCTCTCTCTCTCTCTGTCTCTCTGTCTCTCTCTGTCTCTGTGGGTGGCTGGGTGAGAATGTGCAGGTGGCTGCGTTGACCACGAAGAAGCTCGAGGTCGAGAACACAGCCGAGTCCTCAGGCTACCTGTACGATCTTGAGTCACAGTGGAACTCGGAGAAGCAAGAGAATGTCACAACTGAGCTTCCCGCGCTGACCGAAGGTGAGAGCCCTAGGACGCTTTCTGGCTCTGCCCACACTCTTTCTCGCTCTTGTTGTCCAAGACGACATCATCAAGCGCAAGAAATTCGGCATCATCACTTGGACAACAGATACGGCGGAGTGGGTGGTGAGTATGCACCTGCCTGAGCTGACGTACGTCGTGTCAGCTCAGGCGGCCCCTACTCGTGTGTGTGTGTCACTCATGCAGCCCCCCAACTGCATCAAGGAGCTGAAGGCGCCGTTCGAGCGAAACGAGAGCGTCAACGCTTGTAAGCGAGACACGCTGTTGGCCAGCGAGACACACATCATGGGCACGTTGTCTGTTGTCGGCATCGTATCCTTTGCAGCGAAGACCAACATCAAGGTTCTCGCCGACAACGTCGACAAGATCGGAGAGGGTCAGCGACGCCCGCCATCCTGTCTCAGTGTGGATGTATTTGTGCGTGTCTCGCTGTGCCTGTGCAGAGTGCACTCTGTCCAAGAGTAATCCCTGCGGGAAGTTTTTCGGCAAGCAGTACCTGGAGTGTGTCCCCACGCTCCTCAGCGGTGAGCCAACCACTGACGCCGAACCGGTCCTGCATAGCCTGTGTATGCGCGTCTGTATTGTGTGTGTGTGTGTGTGTGTGCATATACGGGCAGAGCTCGAGGCGTTGACCCAACAGTCGGGCAAGCATCCCAAGGCTGCGCGCTTCTTCACCGGCGGCGAGAAGGGCAAGTGCTGCGCGCCCGAAATCAAGAGAGGCTGACTGACTGACTAAGTCAGTGAGCGAGACACAACTGAGAATGGACATTCGGAAATCGATGGACGACTGACGGCGATGGACATTCATTCATCGATGCATGCCAATCCCAACGGCACACGGACACGACTCTAGTGCCGCAGAGACGACGCACACGCACTCGTTGCATCTGAGGCTGGATGGATGGATTTGTTTTTCTCGTGTGCACAAACGAGACGCTCTGGAAAGTAATTTGAGCAATCGATTGGTTATCCTTCATCGAGCCGGCGCAAGAATGAATGTGTTGTGCGGATTAACATGCCTTTCTCCATGGTGTACGCGGGAAGCTTGCACTGCCGTTCACGTCTGTCTGTATGGAGACGCACCGCACAGCGACATGCATCGAGTCAAAGGCCATGGCCATGCAACACATCCACGCACCCATTCGTGCGATGCTCATGAACACATGAAGCGAAGCTTTCCCTGGCCGGCACTCACGAGAATGGTTTGCGGCAGAGGCCACATCTGGGTCCCGGCTCCTCGGCCATCTCCTCGTCTTCATCATCGCCATTGCCATTGCCGTCAGCTGGCCTCTCGGGTGGGCCTGACAGGATGGGCCGGTAGCACTCCTCGCAATAGCACACATGTCCTGCACACACGCATGTCCACAGAGACACACATGGCGGTGAACGTCATCATTCTGTCTCTGTAGCTGACTGACCACACGGCAGTGTGACGGTCTTCTCCCTCTCCTTGCAGGCGACACACATGCGGTCGCTCTCTTCCTCCCTCCTCTTCATCTCGTCGTGCAGCGCCTCAGCACGCCGCTTGAAGCCCGGCAGCCGCCCCATCTCCTCATCCGCCCGCCCCATTATGCACTCAATCTCAGCTGCAGACCCACACTGACGCAGCCGGTCGTCGGTGAGGCGCTCCCTCTCGAGTGTAGCGGTCTGCTGCTCGAGCCGGTCGATCTGGGTGCGGTGTGCGGCGATCTCCTGCTTGAGCGACGTGATGGTGTTGTCCTTGAGGGTGAGGAGGGCGGCCTTGGCCTTCCTGTCGGCCACGTGGCGCTGCAGCTCGCTGTCCTTCTCCCTGCACATGCCGACAAAAGAAGCGATGAATGGATAAATGGAGTCGATCCCCTTTCGCACCGAATGGTTCTGTTGAGCTGGGCAACGGTGCAGTCGTGTGCCTTTTTGATCTGAGGGGTGGACGGTAAACAAACCCGCACATCAATCATTTCTTTCCCCCTTCCCTCCCACTTGCTTGCCTGACTGACGGCAGTGTCGCGCTCCTTCTTGATCAAACGCTCCTGATGGAAAGACCGAAAAATGCGTTGTCTTCTGCCCTACCCCGCCCCCTCTCCACTTGCCTGATTGAGTTGCTCCAACAATTCGAACACAGCCCCCCGGCCCGTCCTGACGGCAGCCAGCCGCCTCTGCGCCCGCCGCACCGATGACACCTTCTCAAAGTCATCCACCGACGCTAGAAGGTCCGCCGCTTGGTCGGCCGCGGCGGGCGAGATGCGCGACAGCCGCTCGCGCACCTCTCCCACGCCACGGTAGACGTCCACCTGCTGCACCGTGTCCTTTCCGCGGATGGCGAACAGCCCTAGGACGGGCACCCCACTCTCGTCGTCAACCGATACGATCTGCAACACCTGACAGAGAGAGGCACGATGGTGGACGCAGCGTACCTACACACATATGATGAGACTGAGTTATGCCTGTCCGTACCATTTCCTGTGCAGCTGCGTGTGCGTTGGCCAGTCTGTCCGCGTTGTCACAGTACTTGTCCACGAGTGAGGGGATCACCACCTCCTGCACAGCACAGCACAGCACAGCACACCACACACCAACCGTGCGCATCTGGGTGGTCTTCATACCGCACACTGCACTCACATTCCACGGCCCTTGCACGGAATCTGAAGGGAAACACACGTCTATAGACAGACACACACATACACATACACATACACATACTGCTTGCTTCACCTGCACCCTCCTTACCGTAAGGCGTGAGCCGACGGGCACCATGGATAAAGAAGCGCACATTGGACCGTATCACGCTGTTGGGCCGTATGCCGTAGTCGCCGAGAGTGCTGTTGAGCGTGTAGAGCGGCTTGTCGGCATGCAACAGCCATATGGCCTCGGCGGGCACGCTGATCTTCTCTTGCACCAGAAGCACCAGATCAAACACCTGCCAGCCAATGCATCCACCCATCCCATCCGCCTTACATTCCATTCAGCCTTCATTCATTTTTCGCGTACGTACCTCAAAGGAAGGTTGCACGTCGACCATCCAGGTTCTGCCATAGTGGTTGCCTGGAATCATCTCCAGCTGGAAGGCATCCACGGGCCGACCTGTGGAAGGTGCGTCGAAAGCAAGCGCAGGCCGCCCCGCCGCCCTCCCACCCTCCACCTTCTGCGGTTTCTCCGTTCGCTCATCCATCTCTTGCAAATTGTTGCACTCTGCACACGGTTGAAGGCTCTCCACGTTGACAGCACGTCCCTCTCCTGCAAACCATGCTGCAGATCCGAGGTGGCTATAGGGTGCTCCATGAAACCGCTGCTGCGGTGAATCAATGCTTCATCTCTTCTGTGTAATGGTGATAGCAACGCGGCTACTGTCTGCCTGCGCGTTTGTGCACGTCAAAGGATCTCTGCTGCAGGTGAGCGATTCATCACAGATCTGGGCAAAGCACTGCACGGCAGCCTGGGTCATTCATTTGTGTGTGTTTGATGTGTGTCAGAGGCGCCCTGTGAGCAGGTGTATGGCTACTGCAGCGGCGCAGGCCAGCGCACAGGTACGGACGGATGGATGGATGGACGGATGGATGAGTAAAGAAACACAGAGAGGAGAGCTGTTATGTCTGACCTGAACGAGCAGGCGTGCGCAGACGTCATTCCGGTGCCCCTGCTGACGGGCACGAGCAACAACTACGGCTATCTGCTCGTGGACAGGTCAGTCATCAGGCAGTCAGGCACACACATGCGCACTTCTGTGTGACTGTCTGTGCAGAGAGACGAAGCGGGCGGCTTGTGTGGATCCGGTGGAGCCGAAGAAACTGCTGTCAGCAGCGGCGGATGCTGGCGCCACCATCGACACACTCCTGTGCACACACAAACACTGGGACCACAGCGGTGCGTAGGCCACCCATACATGTATGAGTGTTTCATCCATCCATCCATCCATTTATCGATCAGGGGGCAACAAAGAGATGGCATCTCTCGTGCCCGGCATTGAGGTGGGTGACCATGCACATGTGCTCGTGTGTTCCTTGCTGTGCGTGTACTGTACGTATGCATGTGTATGTTGTGTGTGTACGTACGAACCTGTGCTCATTATACGTGTTGTGTGTGCAGGTGATCAGCACGGCTTATGAGGACATCCCGGCCGTCACCAAGACCATGAAGGACGGCGACACACATCAAATGGGTAGGTAGGTGGAATATGTGCACACACATATACGTACGTACGTACGTATACGTATATGTACGTACATGTATACAGCAGGTGTATGCATTCATGTGCATCCGAGCAGGCTCGCTGACGATCAAGGCGCTGCACACGCCGTGCCACACACGAGGCCACATTCTCTTCTACGTGACCAAAAGAGACAGCAACGAGACGCCCATACTCTTCACAGGTGGGTGCGTTACATAGTATGTGAGCGCATGTTGGCTCGTGTGCATGTTTCGCGTTCACTGAAGGTGACACGCTGTTCGTCTGTGGCTGCGGGCGCTTCTTTGAGGTGGGCTATGACGTGTGGATGTCTATCTCTCTGTCTGTGGACGTGTGTGTGTGTGTGTGTGTGTGTGCAGGGTGAGGCGAGTGAGATGTTCCGTGCGCTCAAGGGCGTCATCGGCAGCCTCCCGCCAGAGACCAAATTATACTGCGGGTGAAACTCACACACACATGCACACGCACGTGTGTCTTTCCGTCTGTGTCGTGTGTGTCCCTCCCACAGGCACGAGTACACGCGAAACAACGTCAAGTGAGCTCATCCATCAGTCACCACATGAATGAGCGAATGGTCACACCACCAAGTGTGTGTGTGCAGGTTCGCGCTGTCAGTCGACCCCGCCAACGCATCTCTGCAGTCCCTCGCGCAGTGGGTTGACGACACACTCAAGAAGGGCGCCTACACCGTGCCCAGCACCATTCAACAGGCACGTGTCGCGTTGAATGCCCACCGACACACACGCGCACTCCCAGCACAACTCGTATATCATTGAATGTATCCGTCTTTGTGCATCGTGCAGGAGCTGTCCACCAATCCGTTTATGCGCGTCGACCAGCCGGCGCTCATACAGGCGGCGCGGGCTCAAGACATGACGGCAGGTATGCTTGCTGCACAGGCAGGGAGAGGGAGGGAGGGCATGGACGCGTGTGTGGCCATGTGGGGGGGTGCAGATGAGAGCCGCGATGTGTTTGTAATGAAGAGGCTTCGAGAGATGAAAGACTCGTTCTAGCTAGCTGCATGTAGATAGATGCACAGCAGAGGGGATGAATTCATAAATGGTTGGAGGGTCGGGCCAGCTGCCCACCAGTCATTTACTCACTGATTGATGAGATGATGTGTCGTTGGTTGGTCGGTTGGCTCCGTTGTCGGTGCTTGGTCTATGTTCAACCGGACAAGCGAAAAAGGCCCATTGACAACTTGAGTGAGATGGTCTGTGCATCCCGCTGTCACACAGATGAGTGGGAAGTCATTGCAAGCACGCACACCCACACACAGATAGATATCGTGACCCCACAAAACTCGGGCGTGCAATCTTCGAATGAGTGTCACCCCACCGCCGGTGCCGCAAGTCATCACACCCAACGAGACGGAGACCGACCAAAGGCATGACATCACTACCCAGCCTGACACACACAGATGGAAAGAGAGAAGGCACAGTCAGACACAATTGCGTACGTCGTTCGGGCATCTGCTGCTCGTGTCAGTCTTGTTTGGTGCAAACATACCCAGCTGTCTATTGGTCGAAGATCATGGCTGAGATGACGGGCCCTAGCACCACACGCGCCAGCCGAGTGGTCTCCGGGAAGCGGCCCTTGAAGGCGCCACCACCACCAGACACAGCCGGCTCGGTCGTGTAGACCTCAACCATCACTGCAAACGAAAGACAGGAGAGCACAGCAGCGGACAGCACATGAGAATATGTGCCTCCCTGGATTTGTCACCCTCCTCCCCCTTGCTGTGCCGTGCTGGGCTGACCAGTGTTGAAATTGGGCCTGTACATGACAGTGATCCATGCGAAGAAGGGGTGGCCGGCGTCGGTCAGGACGAGATGACGGTAAGTCATGCCGTCAGTGGAACGGCGTGATGCAGTTGTGCTGGTGCATCCCTCGACCGGCGTGTGAGGGGACTGCGTCGGCAGCAGTGTGATCAGCCGGCTGTTGTCAGCATGCCTGATGATGAAGAGACACACAACGTACACACACTCGTGTGCCGTGGGAATGCCCTCTCAGAGTGATGCCCCGCCTCACCTGTTGATGCCCTGGCTAGTGGAGTTGAGTTGGTGAGTCCCCCAGAAGTGGCCGATGACGATGCTCTTGACGAACGACGACACAGACGAGGAGACCCGAGCCGCCAGCGACACCCAGCCCTCGGGCGGATCATATGAGATGTTGCTGCGGACGGGCGGGTCATGCTGTTGTCGGTGCTGTTGGATGGGGTGGTGGGCAGGGAGGGTCTGGTTGGTGTTGATAGCGAAGCCGCCTTGGTCCTTGATGGCCCGCAGTGCGTTGCCGTAGCGGAACAGCTCAAAGGTCGTGTTGTCGCCGAAGTCGATGTGGGGGCCGACCATCTTGAGCTGAGCCAACACACGGGGAGCGGCCAGATACGCCTACACACACAACACACCACACACCGATTGAGAGCAATCCTTTCTCCCTCCCTCCCTCCCTCGGTTGGCTTACCGTCTTGTTTGGGTATTGGTGCAGATCGCTCGCAGTGAGGCTCACAGGCAGCTGGCAGTTGCCGCACTGCCCCGCCAGCTCGACCGCCTCGCTCATCTCACTCCAGCCGCCCGCCTCCGTCACACACAGCGCCGCCAGCAGGTCACCCTCGCCCATCTGCTGGTCGTCGAAGGTCAGCAGCTGCTGTCCGTTGGCCGTCCGCCGCAGCCCCGCCTGTGTGCTGAGCTCATGGCTGAGCCGCTGCCGCAGCTGAGGCGCTCCGAAGAGCTGTCTGGCCCATTTGCAGGTCTTCCTCAGACGCAGCACATCCCGCAGCAGAAAATCGCTGCCGCGGTGGGCGAGGACGTACCACACGGGGTGCTGCTGCTGCTGCTGCTGGTTGGGGGCCGTCATATCTGCCGACAGTGAGGTGGCACCTCCCTGTTGCTGCTGTGAGTCTGCCGCAGCACCACCCGCACCAACCGAGCCACCTGAAGGCACCACACAGCACAGGAGGGTCATGACGATGTGCAGTCCACCAACGGCAGCCGATGCTTTCCGTACCTCCGCTGTGCCCACCAGCAGCATCAGCAGTATGGCTGATGTCTACGCGTCTACGCTTCTTGGCGCCGCCGTCTTCAGCAGGCACCTGACCAGCGACACACATCAATGAGTTTGTGTGCCTGTGTGTGTGGGTGTGGACCTGTGCGCACCTCGTTGCTATGCTGTTTGTTGCTGTCGGTCTCCTTCGGTCCCACAGCGTCGCCCGCCCGCCACTGAGCAGCCCCGCCGTCGACATCCATTCGCTGATATCAATACACATCGACACACAGAGGAGTGGCCGGCTTGTGTGTGCCATCCAGTGGTCGGTGGAGCCTTACGCGTTTGTTGTGGTTAGCGGGCGTCTGTGTCAGCTCATTGCTGAGGGCCGAGTGGGCGTCGGTGAGGTTCGTCAGAAGACCCAACAGCCGTCGACCAGCCGCCGACGCACAAACCTGTCAACGGCAACAAACACGACGGAGAGAGAGAGAGAGATGCGGCACTCGTGCAGGCGGACCTGTGTGTCGTTGTGTTGGTTGCGTTGGATCAGCTCCCTCGCCCGCCGAACCGGCGCGGCCATCTCACATGCGATCTGAAGGCAAACAGACAGACAGGCAAACAGCCAGTGAATGAATGGTCGGTCTGGCGCCTCCCTCCTCCCTCCCTCCCTCCCTCACGGATTGGATCTGATCTATGACATCTCGCAAGCTATCGTCTGACACGTCGCCCCGCCCACCTGGACCACACACACCGTCACCACACACACACATGGCAGCTGTGTGTGTCCATTGTGTGCGCCATCGCCCACCTCTCGAGGGAGCCGGTGCGTCGTGGCTACTATCCATCTGACGAACACGGTCAACCACCTGCACCAAGGAAGCAGCCCAGCCACACAGCGAGATGGGATGCAGTCATCAGTGTGCCTGTGCTCTCAGTCTGCCGACTCACTGCTCAGTGTGAGAGCTGTGGCGTCAGCTATCGAGCTGAAACTAACGTCAGCCATCAAGAAGCAGCCCGACTGATGAGTGCTGCCCGCCACAGCCGTCCAGAACCTCTCACTCAGCCCGTCACAGTCAGATCTGACAGCACACACACCGCACAGCCACGCAGGGAGGGAAGGGAATGCGTTGCCTGTCGTTTCCATATCTCATGGATCATCTGTCTGCCTGCCTCCCTCAGTTGGCCTCGCTGATGGGAAGGCTTAGCGCACCGGCTCACTGAGTGAATGGGCCGAGAGGTCTTACCGATGATGGTGATGAGAGGAGGTGTGGAGGCATCAGACATGCCTGTCATCACCAAAACTGTGTTCGCAAAGAAATTTCAACGCGAGCTTCGGCGAGAATTCCATACTTGGCCAGGAGCGCTTTCCGGTGTGCAATGTTCAGTAAGGAGAAGGCTTCCCCTCCGTGTGGCGACTCCGCCCACCCGGGCTTCCCAACCTACGACGAGGAGGCGCCCGCCCCGCCCACCAGATCTGCCGCACTCTCCAGCATCTTCACCGCCTCGCCGCCCGGCCGCGGCCACATCATGCAAGAGATCTCCATGAACAGCAATGAGAACCGCGTATCGGACGCTCCCGCTCCCAGCCGCGGTCGTGTGATGGAGGAGATCTCCATTGCCACCGCGCCCAGCCGCGGGAAGGTCATGAAGGAGATCCAGGCCGCTGCGCGTGAGGCCCCGGCCTCTCGCGGGGCGGTGCTGAAGGAGGTTCAGGTTGCTCCGCGTGAGGATGTGTGTGAGGTGCCCTCTCGCGGCATGGTGATGCGGGAGGTGAAGGCTGCTGGCGGGGGCGGCGGGCGCGCGAGGGGGGGCGGGACGTATGTGCGGGAGGGACATCGGCATGGCCATGGCGGCCGGAACAAGTGCCACAAAGAGGAGATCCAGGCGCCCGAGCGTGGCCCCAGAGGTAAGCAGGGGAACAAGCACTGTGGACCGTGTTTGTCTGTGCATGTCTTGCTGCAATGGGTGCAGTGTTGCTGGTGAGCCTGCTGTCTCTGGTATTGGTGGCGGTGTGCGCGCCCTCTGGTGCGGCGGCCGACATCCCGCCCATCCCGCCCATCCCGCCCATCCCGCCAATTCCCCCCATCCCGCCCGTTGCATTGCATCGAACGGAGCGGTTGCAGCATCGGACGGAGCAGCTGCATCTGCCGCCCCGACAGGACCTCCCCCCGTCAGCACCAGCATGCACAGACACGGCCTCGGGCGAATGTGAGCTCGTCAAGTTTTCTGAGCAGGCCCACCACCACCACTCTGCCGCGATGCCCCCGCCGTCAGCTCCACAGCAGGAGCCGGAGGCTGAGCCAGAGCCAGAGCAGCCAAATCAGCAGAGTGCCCCGGGTGGGGCGGACATCGCATATAGGTGCGCACAGATGGCCACCACCAATGGATGGATGCGTTTGATTCCGGTCTGTGTGGGTGTGAGTACAGTGTGGAGATGGAGGCGATGGGTCGTCTTGCCCGTGCCGGCCATGTGTATGAGATATCCTATGCGTCTGACGTGACCCGCAAGACCCACCGCATATTTATCGACGAGAAGGACATGAAAGAGCTCACCTCAGTGGTTGTCGACACACAACACGTACGCACAATAGAGACGTCTGTGTGTGTGCCCCTCTCTACTCTCTCTGCGTATGTGTGTGTTAAGGGCCCGCTTTCTCAGTATGACAAGGCGATGCTGGCCCAGCAGGCCCAGAAGCTCGATGCCGCACTAGACGAGATCGAGAAGCGCATCGAGGCCGACCCGAGATACCTCGACAATAACGAAACTGACAAACGCAATTACGCCGCGGTACGCACCCCAGCCCTCACACAGACCTGTGTCTCGTCTGGAGTCTTTGTGTCGGTGGTGCAGGCTGTGTTGAATTTCGATGCCATCGCCAAGGCCGTCGGCAGCGGCGGATTCAACAAGATGCCTGTCGACGAGACGGCCGTCGACCGTGCGAGCCAGCAAGGCCACAAGGACATTGTGGTGATGAGCTAAGGCACGTGGGCACAGACACACACACACACACAGAGAGAGAGAGAGGCAGACACAACACATCTCTGCTTGTGTGTTGCTGCAGTAGTCTGGTCCGAGCCGCCCGTGCCGGCCATGTGTATGAGCTCTCGTATGTGTCTGACGTCACGCACAAGACCCACCGCATATTCATGACAGACAAGGATATGAACAACATGAGAGGAGTAGTAGCCAACGACAGACAGGTGCGCACAGGGGTGAATCCGTGTCTCCACCTCTCTCTTGTGTCTGCTTGTCTCTTGTCGTTCATGATTCAGGGTTCGCTTCGCCAGTCGGACAAGGCGATGCTGGCGCAGCAGGCCCAGAAGCTCGATGCCGCACTGGCCGAGACCGAGCGGGCCATCCAAGCGAACGAGAACTATCTCACAAACGACGAAAACAAGAAACGACAATACGCCACGGTGAGGACAGGAAACGGGAATTAACAACTCACCCACGCGCAGATGTGCCTGTCTGTGTGTGTTTGGATGGACTGATGGTCGTAGGCGGCCTTGAATTTCCATGCGATTGCCACCGCTCTCGGCAGTGAGGGCTTCAAGCTCAATAGAGTGACCGGGCACAGCAATCTAGACAACAGCAACGTCATGGCGGCCGTGCGAGGCGGCGGCCGACACAACGATGTTGTGGTCATCATATGGCCGCAGACCGCCATCGCGTGATATACACAGACAGAGATAGATGGAGAGACATAGGGATGGCGGAACCATGTTGGCTGTAGTTTCTGCTTTCTTGGGCACATGTGGTGTGTTGGTGTCGGTAAGGCCTCCTCATCGCATAGCTAATGAGCCGTGTGTCGCCTTGCGTGGAAATGTACAGACACATGGCGAATCAGTTCGAGCAGTCTGTCCCAGTCGGTCGGTCTCTTCCCAACGACAGTACTGTCCACTGTCCCTCCCTCCATTCATCCATCCATCCACCATGCGCACCCATGCAGTCAATGCAGGCCCGTGCAGACCAGCTATACACCTCTGTGTGTGTAGGTATGTATCTGTGTGTGTGTGTAGGTGTGCAGGTACGCACTCTACAACAAACAGCCCACCCATCACCCACCCATCACCCATCGATCATCATGCATCACACGTGTCCAGCTCATGCACGCAGCGCCCCCCCTCCCCCTCCCTCTGCGAACCGGTCACCATTCTCGCCCTCGCCCATGCAGAACGGCGGATACGGCACCACAGGCACGCTCACGCCGCTGTCCACATAATGCAGCGGCCTGTTGACTGCAAGCGCCACGCACCGGTGGCCGCGTGTCGGCGAGCTCGACTGCACCGACCGTACAGTCCGCGAAGGGCTGCCCACGTTGACCGGGGGCACATCTGACTGCTCGTCGTCGCCATGGTCATGCTGATGCTCGTTGTTGTCCACGAAATCGTTGCTGCGGGGCCGTTGGATAGTCGGCGTTGGGACCGTGGGTGTGAGGAACATTGGGGGCAGCAAGGGCGGCGACCGACCTCCGTCGAGGGCGCCTCCGATAGTCTTGCGCGTCTGCCGGGACCGCCGGCGTGAGGGGGACGACTCATCGCTGCTGAGGTCGAAGAGGAACGGTGGCGAGAGGTATGACTCTCGGATCATCCGGAGGGACGGCAGGTCGAAAAGGGCCTCGATCTCTTGCCAGTGGATGGTTCGCGGAGAGGGAAAAGGGGCGGGGGAGGGGATCTCGTTGCTGCTGCCGTTGTTGGTGTCGGCAGCTGCTTGCTCATGGTCCTGGGTCAGTATGCAGTGGTGGAACAGGGCGTCGACCAACGGGCGAGGACTGCATTGACGAACGACAGACAAAGTGCGATAGGCGCAATGCATCCCTCTCTCTCTCTCTCTCTCTCTCTCTCTCTCTCACTCTCTCTCTCTCTCTCTGTCTTGCCTGTTGTGCCTCTGACTCACCTGGTGTTGAGTATCTTCCTCACGCCGTCTTTCTTGAGCAGCAGCTGTTCGCTGGGCGTGACGTCCAGCCGCCGCGACATGACGGTGCAGTACCGCCGCCTCAGCCGCTGCCGCATTTCCTCCGCGCGACGCTCACACGCCACCCGGCGACCGATCAAACCCGCCTCGACCACCTGCATGCAGCCACACACACATATGAGAAGGGAGGGCATTGACATGTGAAGTGTCGCTTACCTGCAGCTCATCTCGCTTGGCCTGCAGGAATCCCTCCATGTGCTGCCGGAGGCCTCCCGTACTCACGCAGTCATCGTGCCCACCCTCCCCTGCCTCTCCCTCCCTCTCAATGCGGCTAACCAGGTGCTTGCGGACGTCATGCACCGTCACGAACGGCAGGAGCTCCCTCACCCCCTCCGCGACCTCTCGCACCGTCATCCCTCCCACCCCGTCGTCTGCCATGCCCTCCAGCAGCCTTCCAGAGCCGTCCTCATCGGCCAGAATGGCCTCCATCTGCTGCAGCTGCCCGTGAACCGCCTTGATGTCCTCGCCCCGCGCCTCCTCCTCCTCCAGCACCGAGAAGAGCTCACTGAGAGGGTCTTCATGGGATCTGCTGGGCGAGCGGACGTTGTGTGTTGACTTCCTGTAGCCCAGGCAGCTCAGGTGAGGGCCGCAGAGCTGTCCCAGGTGGTGGATGCCGCCGAATTCACGGCCACGCTGCGATGAAGAGCCTGACAGAAAATCATGACAACGAAGTGAATGCATGCAGAGTGCCCGGCGTCTGTGGCGCTCATTGCTGCTTACTGCGGCGGGGAGAGGATGCATCAGGTTGGGGGTGGAAGAGCTCTCGGGCGCCTGCCCTTGCGGCAGAGAATATCCACTCTGCCGAGAGCAGACGAAATGATCCGGCGATTCCATACATACAGAACGTCTCCCTTCCAGAGCGGTTTCAGGAATACCTCCCCGCAGCGACGCGGGGCGAACAGTTTCACGCAATGTCCTAGCCTGACAGCGAGCTAAGCTGGAGGGAAAGACATGACCTTTTCGCATCGTCTTCTGCTTCTTCCCGGCATCTCGTCTTGAGGCATCGCCCCCAGCCCGCCCTCTCTTTCTCTCGTCCATCCGCCTCTGTCGGCAGATCTTGACTGCCATGCAGGACACACAGCAACAGCAGCCCGACCAGCAGCAGCAGCACCCCATCGAGTACATCTTCGTCGGCCGCCGCACCTTCTACCTTCTCAGCCTCGATGATGTCCTGCAGCTGAGGGCCACATGCCGCTGGCTCAGAGAGCTCTTCAAAGCGGCTCAGCTGCGGCAGCGGCTCCGCCATTCGCTCGGCACACAGGCGGGGCTGCGGCGGACGGCCAACGGACAGCAGCTGCTGACATTCGACGACCAGCAGATGGGTGTGGGTGACCTGCTGGCGGCGCTGTGTGTGACGGAGGCGGGCGGCTGGAGTGAGATGAGCGAGGTGGTTGGGCTGGCGGGGCAGTGCGGCAACTGCCAGCTGCCTGTGAGCCTCACTGCGGGCGATCTGCACCAATACCCAAACAAGACGGTAAGCCAACCGAGGGAGGGAGGGAGGGAGGAGGGATGGCTCTCAATCGGTGTGTGGTCAATGTGTTGATGTGTTGTGTGTGTAGGCGTATTTGGCCGCTCCCCGTGTGTTGGCTCAGCTCAAGATGGTCGGCCCCCACATCCACTTCGGCAACGGCGTGACCTTCCAGCTGTTCCAACACGGCAACGGGCTGCGGGCTATCAAGGACCAGTACGGCTTCGAGATCGACATCGACCCGCCCCTCCCTCCCAACCACCCCTACCAGCAGCACCGACAGCAGCATGACCCGCCCGTCCGCAGCAGCATCGACTATGGTCCGCCCGAGGGCTGGCAGTCGCTGATTTCGTTGGCTCGTGACTACTCGTCTGTGTCGTCGTTCGTCAAGTGGATCGTCCTCTACCACTTCACGGAGACTCACCAGACCAACACCACAACCGGCCATTCTATCAACAGGTGAGGTGGGGCATCACTCTGTGTGGGAATGCTCACGTCACACGAGTGTATGTTGTGTGTGTGTGTCAGGCATGTCGACAACGACCGGCTGCTCAACCTGCTGACACAGTCCCCCCACACACCAGTGGAGGGATGCACCACAACCACATCACATCGCTTCCCTTGGCGCTGTCTCGTGCTCACCGACGCCGGCCACTCGTTCGTCGCATGGATCGCCGTCAAGGATCTGCCGGGCATCAACGGTCAGCCCCGCACGGTATAACAAAAGAGGCGAGGAGGGTGACAGACCCAGGGAGGCACATACTCTCATGCACTGTCCGCTGCTATATGCTCTCCTGCCATTCGTTCGCAGTGATTGTGTGGGTCTACACGACCGAGCCGGCTGTGTGTGGTGTGGGTGGTGCCTTCAGGGACCGCTTCCCGCAGACCACTCAGCTGGCGCGTGTGGTGCTGGGGGCCGTCATCTCAGCCATCCTCTTCGGCCAGTAGACAGCTGGGTATGTTTGCACCAAACACGGCTGAGACGAGCAGAAGATGCCCACACACACGACGAACAGAATTGTGTCTATGTGTCTTTCCGTGTGTGTGTCAGGTTGGGCGGAGCCTATATAGATGTCTTAGATAGCGCACACGGTCGGGAAGGCGATCGTGTGACGTACGTGTGCGAAGGCGATTGTTTCGAATCGATGTGATGTGCGTAAGTAATGTCCTGCCTGAGTGTGGGAATAAGTGACTGACTGACATTGGCTAGCTACAGTTGATCAAGATGAGCTCCGATCCGGTCATTCTTAAGATCAGATCCGTTGTTCGTCCATCCATGTCAGTCGACGCAACCTACACTTGTCTGTCACTCACAGAGCGCACAGGGGGGAGGCCATGAGGGGAGGGGAGGAGGCAGGCAGCATAGCATCCTTTGTACAGGCGCAAGGCTAGACTAAGGCAAGAGAGAGAGAGAGAGAGGGAGAGAGAGGGAGAGAGGGAGGGAGACGAGGCGGCCACTGGCATAGTCCATCCATGGAAATGTCAAGAGGCCACATGGGAGGGAGGGAGTCGCTGTACACCACACCACACCACACCACACCGCACAACACAACACAAATCACCCATCGCCTACCCACGCCACGCACACCGAGAGAGGCTTAAATCCGCAACACCCATCCATCCCATCTGCCCACCTACCCACCCACAATACACCCACCCACCCTCCCTCCCTCCCTCCCTCTCTCGTAAGGTAAGCCCTACCCTACAGCTGCACTCGTCCCGTCCGCCCGTCCGTAAGACCTACGCTAAGCACCGCCATCCCATCCTGTCTTGTTTTTCACCAGCCAGTCTGCCGTCATGATGATCTGATCTCGCATATCACGCGAGCTCTAAAAATCTCCGCCCGCTCTCTCCGCTCGCCGTGCCGCGTGTGGAGGTGGGTGGACGGGTTTGTCGCTGTCAGGGGAGCGGTTTCTTGGGCGCCGCCTTCTTCGCCCCCTTCTTCGGCCCGCCGGCCTTCATCATCATCCCGCCTGCATGTCAACCTCACACACACACACAGACACAGAGGGAGAATCCGTCGTGTGTGCAGCCTCCCCTCCCCCTCCCTCCCTCCCTCCCTGTCTGTCTGTGTCTGCACCTTCCTTGCGCATAAGCAGGTCGAGGAGCTGCTTCTTCATGTCGTCAGAGGACTCCTTCTCAAACAGCGCCAGCAGCCGCTCTCGCTCCTGCCGGTCACGCTCGTACAGGAACACCTCCTCGCTGATCCGCCCCGCCACGAGCGCCTGCATGAGCGTATCGCCACCACCAGCACCACTGGCGTCGAGCTGCTCCGTTCCGGCGTACTGCCGCAACACTGTCTGCGGCTGTCCCTGTGGCTGTGGCTGTGGGTGTGGCTGTGGGTGTGGGAGTGTCTGGGGCCGCGAGGGCAGCAGCTGGTGGGGAGGAAGATGGAATGCATCTGCATGCGCCACGCCAGGCGTCGCAGGAATGAACCAACCGACAGAAGGAAGGAGGCGACAGGACAACACGCACTTATGTCGATGCATCGCAGTGGCACTCACTGATCTTTCTGTTCTCTCGGTGTGCGGCGTACCAGTGAAGGAGCAGACGCAGATGAGCAGCAGCACGAGCATCGTCATCATGCAGGAGCCAACGCCGAGAGCGTCGGGACCTCTCATACCCGCCGATCTACGCTATTTCGAGGCAGATATCTTCTCTCTCAGCAAATGCACGAACGACTACTTGGGCAAAGCCTCCTCTCTCGACTGAAACCACCGCCCGATCCCCACCTGCGAGCTAAGCTCACGAAGGAAGGGGGCAACGTGTTTGATGAGATCTGTGCTCATCAGCAGCGTCGTTCCATCCCTCACACAAGTAGCTGTCCGTCCTTCCAAGCCGCGGACCCCTCGGGCTCACCCAACAAGTAGACAGCGGCAGCTGCCCATCGCCCTCTTCCTGTCTGCTGCGTATACCTGCGGCAGACTCTCGCGCCCGCCGCACTGGCAGCCGCCTGTACTGCCACGGCCATCGGTGCCACGCGCCGCTGATATTTCTACCATGGGCAGCGGGTCGGCGGAGACCATTGAGGTGCCGGAGCTCTGTCGGTATCTGGACGACTTCGCCGACATCGAGAAGGAGATCGTCAACAGATATGAGGTCATCGCGCTGATGAGAAGCGAACCGAAGGATGCATGTGACACACGCTCTCTCTCTCTCTGTGTGTGTGTGTGTGCGTGTGTGTTCGTCTGTTTGTTCTTGTCAGGGTTTCATCTTTGACATGGACGGCGTGTTGTGGGAGGGGACGGAGGTGATCGCTGGGGCGCGGGAGGCGCTGGTGCGGCTGCGGGCCATGGGGAAGCGAGTCTTCTTCTGCACCAACAACTCCATATTCAACAAGAAGCAGGTCCATACTGCTTCCCTTGTGCTTCTTTCTTGATGCGTTGGTGCGTTGATCCACGTGTACGTGTGTGTGTGTGTGTGTGTGTGTGTGTATTCAGTACGTCGAGATGTTCCAGCGTCGAGGGTTTGACGACATCGCCGAGGAGAGCATCTACTGCGCCGCGTCAGCCACGGCAAACTACCTCCAGAAAATCGGCTTTAAGGGCAAAGCGTAAGCGGCGCACAACACACACAAACAGACAGACAACGACAGACCCGGGTCATGGCCACGTGTGTGTGTGTGTGTGTGTGTGTGTGTCACAGCTATGTGATAGGTGCGGACGCGATGAAGGAGGAGATCCGGGCGAAAGGGGTAGACGTGTTCGACAACAGCGCACACACGGGGCAGTTCCCACTGCCATACGACATGGCCAGAGTTGAGGTAACACCCCCCCCACCCCCCCCCCCTCCTCCACACAC